GTTAGAGTTCATCTCGCCATAACGTCTACCTCTAAAGTATGCATTTGTCCAATGCTCATATGGAAGAATATCCAAAAAACCTTCGACAATGTATCAACCCTCACATCGAAAAGCTTCAATTTTTTGGGTAAACAGTGAAATGGTGAGGCCATAAGCACACTCATGCAACAACACCACCATATGCTCCCTAAATCCATTTGAAAACCGATTACCGCTGAACTTGTCTCTCAAGTTTGCCTTCAAGTGTTGCAAACAGAAAGCGTAGGGACACATTGGAAAAATATTTGGCATCACTTCCAACAAACCAACATTACGATCAGAGACAAATGTAATTTTTCTATTCAGATCCAAAATCTCTAACAGTTGTTGTAAGAACCATAACCAATTTGCCTCATTTTTCGAGTCAACAATTGCAAACGCTAGTGGGTATAATCCTGAAACAAAAAGGTGAATATATATAGTTAAATAAAATATTAAAACAATAGCCTACAAATTCACATCATAACAATAATATACAACAACCTGTTATATTAAAATATTAACAATAAACACATACAGTTACACTACTTAAGTATTACATAATATAGACATTGTACAGTTACAATATACAGTTTAAAAAAAATATGCATAAACACCATTTTTTGTTAAGCATAAAAACGAAAATACAAATCACATCATATAGTACCTGTGAAAAAACAAACACTAAGAAAAAGTAAAATGACCAAATATGACAAAGAAAATACAAAATCAACACCACATACAAAAAGAAGATAAAAGACCTATACCCTAATTACCATCCTTCCCAATTGCCGAAAGAATGCATCCTTTGTACTTTCCTTTAATGAATGTCTCATCAATGAATAAAATTAGACGACAATAATTAAAACCTTTGATGCAAGCCTTGAAGGACATAAACAATATATGGAAGCAGTTAGTCTCCTCATCACAATGCAAAACTATATGGCTTCTGGGGTTTGTATTATTCGCAACATCTACATACCAACGTAACTGTTTGTACAACAACGTATGATCCCCAAGTAGCATACCCTTTGCTTTTTCCAGCCCCATCCATGCTTGCTGATAAGATACGTTAAGACCATAAGATGTAAGGAAATCACTAACCACGTTGACTGTACAAGTCGACATCTGGTCACAGACATTATCAACAATCAAATCTACAATTATATTGCAAGACAATCTCTTGTTCTTTGTGGTACACAATGCTACTCCACAGGTGTGTTCATTATTCATTTTTTGTATGTAAAAGAAACCATTAAGATTTTGAATAGTAGCATTAACATGTCATCCACACCCTTTATCATACTTCGACGCGCACTCAGCAACAACCCTATCCTTACAATTCCTCACATAATTAAACTTAAAACCAACCTCAATTGAGTATTTGCACAGAGCTTTTTAAAAGTGTGTGACACCGCCTTCAAACTTGTGGCTTACATGTCGTATTTTATTTGACCACCCAACTGTTAAGAATATTTTTTTCGTATGTGAGCAAAAGCGAGGGAANCAAAAAGGTGAATATATATAGTTAAATAAAATATTAAAACAATAGCCTACAAATTCACATCATAACAATAATATACAACAACCTGTTATATTAAAATATTAACAATAAACACATACAGTTACACTACTTAAGTATTACATAATATAGACATTGTACAGTTACAATATACAGTTTAAAAAAAATATGCATAAACACCATTTTTTGTTAAGCATAAAAACGAAAATACAAATCACATCATATAGTACCTGTGAAAAAACAAACACTAAGAAAAAGTAAAATGACCAAATATGACAAAGAAAATACAAAATCAACACCACATACAAAAAGAAGATAAAAGACCTATACCCTAATTACCATCCTTCCCAATTGCCGAAAGAATGCATCCTTTGTACTTTCCTTTAATGAATGTCTCATCAATGAATAAAATTAGACGACAATAATTAAAACCTTTGATGCAAGCCTTGAAGGACATAAACAATATATGGAAGCGGTTAGTCTCCTCATCACAATGCAAAACTATATAGCTTCTAGGGTTTGTATTATTCGCAACATCTACATACCCACGTAACTGTTTGTACAACAACGTATGATCCCCAAGTAGCATACCCTTTGCTTTTTCCAGCCCCATCCATGCTTGCTGATAAGATACGTTAAGACCATAAGATGTAAGGAAATCACTAACCACGTTGACTGTACAAGTCGACATCTAGTCACAGACATTATCAACAATCAAATCTACAATTATATTGCAAGACAATCTCTTGTTCTTTGTGGTACACAATGCTACTCCACAGGTGTGTTCATTATTCATTTTTTGTATGTAAAAGAAACCATTAAGATTTTGAATAGTAGCATTAACATGTCATCCACACCCTTTATCATACTTCGACGCGCACTCAGCAACAACCCTATCCTTACAATTCCTCACATAATTAAACTTAAAACCAACCTCAATTGAGTATTTGCACAGAGCTTTTTAAAAGTGTGTGACACCGCCTTCAAACTTGTGGCTTACATGTCGTATTTTATTTGACCACCCAACTGTTAAGAATATTTTTTTCGTATGTGAGCAAAAGCGAGGGAACAAATTGTCATCAGACTCGACACCATCATCACAAATATGAACATCTTCAAGTAAATTATCATCAACCACCACACGTGACTCTTTATATTGCCCAGTTACCATGACCTCAACATGATTGACATTTATCAAACGCATTATATCAAACATATTACGCAAGTCCTCATCATTTTTCAAACAACATTTTGGGTGACCTACAATAAAATATGACATAACAATAGACAAATTTCCCAATTCCTCCCATTTTTCGCAAAACCTACCATAAATGAAATCGAATGTTGCACGAACAGAACATTTGATAAAAAAGGTGTCAACATCATAGTTGCATACAAGCAACACTATTCCCTCCATTCTTGATTAAGACATTAAAAAAAATGACATTGAATCAATTCAAAACGAAAAGAATAACAGTTATACAAAACAATTACTTAAAATTTTTAATTCAAATGACTGAATTAATTAGTGACATACTAGGAGAAAAACATAAAACAAAAAATAGTTACAATATACAGGATCTGCCAAAATAGATATTGGCTGAAAAATTGCATACAAGAGCAATTACACTAAAACGTAATTCTGATTCAAAAACAGTTACACCCATTAAAAACTAAAACCAGTTTTTTTTCCCATTCAACCGAACAACGAACAACATAAAACAATATTTGCTTCATAAACTGAGGATAAAATAAATTAATTAAAAAACAGTGACATAGTAACCTTTTTTCGAAAACGTTCATTAATGTCTATACAAAAAAAAAAGTTACACCCATTAAATACAAGCCTCCTAAATCAACACGAGAGTGGTCATTTCTGAGTAATGCAAATAAGCCAGTAATAAATAACTAGTTGCGAAGCAACCAATTGTTAAACAAAAGGTATTTAAAATGGAAACCATGAATCTTGAAATGTAGAGACATTGATTTTTTTTTTGGATAATGCTCTTTGATTGATGACAGTGACAACAAAAATGAACTCTTGACCCCTGCACTTCAGATTTCTTACATGGCTCAAAATGCATTGATGACTCTAAAGGAAGGGAAACCACCACCAAATAATACAAACATCGAGCAAACATAAAACAAAATCGAACATAGAAAATTTTCAAATCAGTGACCGAATAAAAGAAAAAATATGCTTATTATTTCTATACGAAAAAAATAGTTACACCCATTAAAACCAAAATAGTTTTTTTCCCTTCATTCCAACAACGAACAAACATAATACAAAATCGAACATAGGAATTCCCAAAAAAAAAATAACAAAATAAAAGAAGAAATATAATTATTAATAACTTACCTTTAAGCCGATGACGGTGATTGGTATTTACAGTTTTTTTTTTCGAATAAATTCACCACTGGAGAAATAAATCGACTGTCGAATAAAACTCTTCCTGTCAAGATCAATTGAACACAGACGTTGAAAAAGACTATTGCAATTAAACACAGACGTTTGAAGACTCTAAATGCAGAGATCAGCTTTTTTTTTTTTTTTGAACAAACTACATAAATGGTTGAAGACTTCTTGTGTTACTGCATAGGCTTTTTGTCGTACTGGATAGATCAGTTTAACACAGACATTTACTTACATATTTGTTTCATAACATAATTGTCAATGATAGCGACATAAATTAAAGAATTGTGTTTTAGTAAAAAAAATTTTAATTTATTTGAATTTTATACCTAAACACAAAAAATTTTATAAAAATTGTACTTAATACAAAAAATAATTTATCCATACATTTTTACCTAAGTCTAAAAAATTATAGTGACACCTAAAAAAACCCAAAAATATAACATACGTGGCTTTCAAGAAACAAAGGGATCCGAATCTTACGGGCCCAGAAAAAACGATCCGATCCTTTCATCCGCCATCGTCAATCCACCACGTACTCAACTCGTCAGCTTCATTTTTAAAAGGGAAATTTTACTTTAGACCCCCCAAAATTAAAAATTCTTTTTTTAGACCCTTAAAGATTAAATTTTTTATATTATACACTCAATATATTAAAATTATTATAATATGGTCCTTCCATTAACTTTCGTTGTTTATTCCGCCAAAAACAACCCTATTAACGTTGATGAAATGAAAAACAAAACAATAAAAAAGAGTATGTTTCAGAAATTTAGGGTATAATATGAAAAATATAATTTTTAAAGATATAAAAAATAATTCTTAAATATTTTAAGATTCAAAATGAAATTCACATTTTTAAAAATCTCCATGCTTTACTGTAAGGTCCTTAAAAACCCAATTATCCGCCAGAGATTCTCCGTTTCCTCCACACAGACAATTGCCCGTAAATCTCTCTCTCTCTCTCAAAATGTCAAACCTCGTATGGGCCTCAAACGTGTGACCCCGTTTTCTCTTCCCTCTTCATCTTCATGCGCCATATATGTTTAGTACGAGAAGTCCAGTGGCCGATCCTTCTTATCTTTCTTCATCTCTCTATTCCATATATGTTTTAGTTGCAGAAGTCCCGAACACACGCCTCAGGAAATCCGAAGCTTAAGTTTGTTTCTTCAGTGCCTCGTCGACTTCAATATTTTGTGGGTTTTGTGAGGAATTAAGCAATGCCTTAGAGTATTTTTCTTAATCTTTCAGTCTTTCTTCATTTGCATCATCACAATGTTGGATTCAATGGCTTCTTGTTACAGTCCTAAGGTACAATAACTCTATTTTCTGATTGATTTGAAGTTCCTCACTGTTAAATATCTGAATTTTTTCCGACTCTGCAAGTTTTGGATAAAAGAGAAAGATTATTCAACCTGTAAAAACGTTTTGGTTTTCCGAAGCAAATGAAGTAACAACACCCCCCCCCCAAAAAAAAAAAAAAACAAAACAAAAAAAAAGAGGGCAAAGCCACTTAGTTGTATTCAGTTGAACAGAGGATTTGGTACATTTGGGTCCCAAATATGGTTTAAACAGGAATTGTTGATCCTTTCTCTCTCTCTCTCGCTTTTTCCCCCTCTTAGCCAACAAACAGGTCATTACTTGATACAAGGTGGCATCTTTGTTGAAAGAAACTAGCTTAATAAGATATCTCTTTGGGTTCTTTTTTTGGTAATTATTAGAGGTGCAATTTGCATTGTTTGGACGATATCGCCTAAGACTTGTTGATGGGCATTATTGGAGTACAAAGAAATCATGGGATTAGCATATGATAGAGAGGCCAAGATTAGTAAGTGATGGGTAAATTGATAATTTGGTTGAGAGTTAGTCTGAATCTGAGTTATGATAAGACTTGGATTTTCTTGGGATTAGTTTCCATTCTTTTAATGGAGTTCAATTTTTTTCAAGATTCCCTTGATTTTTGCCAGAATTTTGTTGTAGTATATATAGATGGCCAAGTTTTTACAGTTACTTGTCAATGTTCAGGAAAAATGACTAATATTTCTGATGATGAGTAATATTCAATGTAATTCGAGCATTAACTATAAAATGTTGCCTATGCTTGGGAAACATTTGGTAGCAATGTGTGTGTTTATTAATATCATCTCGCAGAACACTCCCAAATGCTGATTTTTTATTTTAAACTATCTCCATGTTCATTTGCTGTACCCATGCTTAATAGCTTTCTACCAAAATTGCGGAGAATTCGGGTGCTCAAACATTTTTAATGCGTTCTTAAGGTTTCAAGATAGTATTTGCTGAGTGAGCAGTATAAGTGTTTTCTGTTTCACATATTTTTAACTATTATGGTAAGGAGCATGCTATGTGTATGTTTTTCTGCATAACCATTCATCACACAAGCTCTCAGGTGATGTTTCTTGCTAGTGGAAATAACTGTTCTCCATTAATTTTAATATTTTTGTAAATTTTTTTTTACTTGCAGGGGTGTGGCATTATTACACATACAAGCACTATTAGGGCTGATTCTCATGCTCCACATCCGTATCGACATTCTTTCAATTTGTCATGTGCTTGTAACCAGCAATTACATTTGTCATCATTTTCCATATATCACAGGATCAAAGAGCGCCCTTATATTACATCAAAAATCTTCAAGGTCACAACTTTGCTAAGTGTCTCAATTTCGGGTGGGGGAGTATTCTTTGTCTCTGACCATAGACAGGCTCAAAGGGAAAGATTTCGTGTATATGGTGCACTTGATGTCGCCAGTGCTGTTGATGTGATCAATGATTTAGGAATGGATACTTTAACATTCTTAGCTGTAACAGTTTTGATTGTTCCAGCATTCAAGATCCTCAAAGCTAGCCCTGTAAGCTTAATTTTGAAATTCTCTTGATTTATAGTTTGCGTTGTATGCATAATACTTCAAGGAAAAATTTGTGCATACAAAACGACAAAATTCTTATATGTTGATTTACGTGCAAGTTTGCCTTTATATCTATAGTCATCTGTGTACTATGCGTAATTGTGTATATAAATATGCATATCTATGTATTCGATATTTACATTTGACCTCCACAGAAGCCTCAGTGATAGGAGTTTTGTGCACTAGGCCGCTTTTTATATTTACATAAGTGCATATACTCACATATAGGTCCGTCAATCGTGTCGAGTGAGGCAGATTCGTGTCAGGTTTTAATGGGTACATGTCAAAAAAATACTTNACTAGGCCGCTTTTTATATTTACATAAGTGCATATACTCACATATAGGTCCGTCAATAGTATCGAGTGAGGCAGATTCGTGTCAGGTTTTAATGGGTACATGTCAAAAAAATACTTCACTCATACCCGAGTTGTTTATTAATTCACGTGTATGAATCTGTATAATCGGTATATAAGCGAGTCGGGTCGTGTATTTTTTTTAATTGACTTCATCCACACCCGATTTGTTTATTAATCGAGTCGTGTCATATTTTAACATCCCTGCTCACAAGGAGTGTGTGTGTGTGAGTTCTCGTGATCTTTTTCACTTTTATTGGTGATTGATGTGTTTGTTGTATCTATTGTACCAAAATATTGGTCAATAGAAAATGCAGAGTGAATTATTCTTTAGTGGATCAAAGGATTCCCCAGAAATTTCGAAAATTCTTGTGATCTATTCAGAAATTTCAAAGCTAATTAGCGCCCCAAATTTTCTTAACAATAGGAGATGAAGGACGAGTTTCATATATTACAAAGTGATGGAAAAGGTATTATGAATAGAGATTACAACTAATCAAAGATTGTGACTTATTTGTTTAAAGTAACAAAACTTTGTTTGGCTTTAACTTCAAATAGAAAGAACAGAAAAGGAAAAAAAGATAGAGGAGGCTAAGAAGTTGGTCACTTATCCTGGAATGAACTTCTTAATATTTCTGATGAACTAGTGCGCAATTACTATAAAATAAATACTCCATCTGTCCCACATTTAGAGTCCATCTATACTTTTGGGGATATCCTTTAATTAGTACATGTGGACTAATCAACTTAATAGATTTATAAACTTCCTAATTGTTCTTGTTGGAAATGATTTTGACAATTTTTTGACAACAAATACATTAAGGGTAATTTTGGAAGCTTCTTGAATGAGATGCATAAGTTACATGTCCCCTAAAAAGTTGGATTGATTTTGGGACAAAGGAGTAATAGAAACAGCAAACATATTTTCTTGTATTTGATACAATTCTCAAGAATTAAAGAGTCCAATTTTTTCACTCATTTGGAAAAATGATATTCATTTGTGCTAGTTATATTCACGTTAGTGGGTTTGGTTGAGGCTAATTTTGTTTGTTTGTAAACAGTTTGACATGATTAATCCATTTATTAAACGATTCATATTAGGGTTTTTAATGTTAACACACTTTACACATACTGTGATGCAAATGTGAATGACGTGACGTAATATTGAAGGTTAGATATGTACCCAGTCCATCCCTTTAGGGCCCTCAATCATTAGGGACTAAACTAGTTATTATGCTTGCATACTATGTACTTGCTATAAAAGTATTTTTCCACCAAGTATGTGCATATGTTGTGAAAGTAACCTATGAAATTTCTATGCATCAAGTATATTTGATGTTCGCATTCATATTTGAGTAGGAAATTTGATTTTTAAATTGCACAAGATTCATCTTGGTGGTAGGTTACTGGTATTCAATCTTCAGCTCTAATATGATTTCCCATAGCAGATAAATTGTTCACCTGCTGTGGAAGTTCAAACATATCACCACCAAGTTAAACTGATCTCCCAAGGTTGGCCTTGAATTTTTTACCCCCGCACAAGCTCCCAACTAGGCTCATGTCTGGGACCTATCTTAGCCAACCCGATGAAAACCTTGATTGGCCCTCCCCTTAGCTCATCTTGGTCAGTCCAGCCTACCGGGAAAACTACGCGTATGCTCTTGTATTTTTCTATGTAAGCACATCTGTTTGTGCGTGCACTCCATACGTGTGAAACATGGGTTAAGGAGAATAGGGGAGAGAAGAAAAAACAAGAGTGAGTAGAAGATAGAACAAGCTATTAGAGCATCTGATGGCTCACCATGTTCACATTGCTGGTTGTACCAATAGGACATGATAAAAGCAATATAGCAGATTTTACATCTGAAGGGAGCTAAATCCTATATGCTTTTACTTATAATTAGAGAAATGCTTAAATTGGTATTGAATATGCATAAATTAGGATGACTTGATGTGTTTTATGGATTTATTGTCTTTTCAATGATAATTAATATAAGCTAGTTGATTCAATGGTTTCAGATACTTGGTTTCTTCTTTGCGGGAGTCGTGCTCAATCAATTTGGCTTGATTAGGAACATTACCGATGTTAAAGTTCTCTCTGAATGGGGGATCCTTTTCTTGGTAAGCTTTGTAATGTGGTGGTAGGTACAAATGCCTGGGTGTTTTGAGTTTTGACTGAAAGCTAGCTAGCACTCTTTTTTTTTGTTGTTTTTATTGTTTAGTATAATTGCTTATCATCATTTACCACCTATTTGCTTAAGTCTGAGGAAAAGATAAGTTCTTTTGAGTGCATGTTTCTCATATCGATAAAGCGGGGTTCGTCTTCTTTTCCAAAAAGCCAATCATACTATTCCACTTTAGCTTTACCAAGTGAGTTGCCAAGTGAATAATGCTTAAATTTTATTATTATTTTTTTAATTTTTTTGCATGGTATGTTCTCAATGAGCATAAAACATTTAGAAATCATATTATGGCAATTGTTGCTAAAATTGACAAAATTAACTACTTATTGTGTCAATTTCAGAAAGAAAATATAAATTTACACATATCTGTTGTATAATTGAACTGCTTATTGGGTTTGGTGGCAACAATCGCAAAAAGAGGANTAAAATTGACAAAATTAACTACTTATTGTGTCAATTTCAGAAAGAAAATATAAATTTTCACATATCTGTTGTATAATTGATCTGCTTATTGGGTTTGGTGGCAACAATCGCAAAAAGAGGGCTTTTGGTAAGAAATTTGATGGTAAAAAATATAGCTTTGGTTGAAAAATGACTTTGGAGATTTCTTTTGGAACAAAATTCATTATTGCATTTGGTTATCAAGAGCAAGTATGGCTTGTAGGCTAAATGGGTGGGATGCTGATGGAGTTGATAAGGTAATTACCGAAACTCGTGGAAGTTTATTTCTCAGGGATTGTCTCAATTTTCTAAAAAGTCAAGTTCATTGTGGGCAATGGGTTGAAAGTTCCTTTTTGGGAGGACATTTGGGTTGGGGAGGAGGTGTTTTCAAGTTTATTCCCTCGGTTGTTTCATCTATCTTGCTATCAAAGTATTTGTGTCGCTAATTTGATTAGAATGGATCCTCTTTAATTTCTTGGGATTTTGGGTTTTGTAGGGATATTAATCTTAGGGAGGCTTCGGAATTAGTGGTGCTTCTATCATTGCTCAATTCATTCTCTTTTTATCAAGGTTCTTGAATAAAAGGTGTTGAGTCATTGACTCTTCTGTTACTCATGTCATCTGGTATTGAAGATTTGGAAGGTTAAAGTGCCTTCGAAAATTCAAGTTTGTGCATGGGTCATTGCTCATGGTAAGATTAACACCTGAGATGTGCTCCAAAAGAAGAGACCTTATAATAGAGTGTGGACCATTTATTTTTACACCGTAGGACAGCTTCATACTTATAGAATAAATTATCCAAGTTGGTTGGGATTTGTTAGGCGGCACCATAATCGATTTCATCCATGTTTTGTGTGGAGTTCAAAGGTTTGGGTAGAGGTGCAAGGGTTGATACTCTTTGGCATTGTGAACTTTTTTTAATGGTGTGGGTTATTTGGTTGGAGAGAAAATCAAGAATATTCGAAGATAAAGAGAAGGTGATGGAAGGATCCAATAACGAAGGCATTTGAGAATATCCCCCTTTTTTGTATCAGGTCAAGTTGGCTTGTATTGTGAGGGATATAGCTAATGGTGGTTGATGTTCTTTGGCTTTTTCTTATTTTGCATGTAATCGAGTTGGACTTCTTGTCCACATTTGCTCATACTATGTAATGTTTTCTTCCTATTAATGGAATGTTGTTTCTTATCAAAAAATCCACGATTATCAGGTTTTGAATGGTTCAATGGGTAATATGGTGATGTACTTTTATGAATTAGCTGTATTTCAGTCCTGTTATTGCTTGCATCTAGCCATATAAGGGCATCAAGAGTACTCAAATTGGAATGGTTCACTTTCTGTCAGAGAGAACTATTTTTTGTCATCTGTATAGATATGGAAATATCAGTGCTTTCTGCCCATATTGTGTTCTGAGCATCTTTTTATGTTGCTATCTCACGTTTGTGTTATAATTCCTCAAAAGATTAACCATGTAATTTGATTAAACAGCTTGTTACTCTAATTTAATGCNTGCTAAAATTGACAAAATTAACTACTTATTGTGTCAATTTCAGAAAGAAAATATAAATTTTCACATATCTGTTGTATAATTGATCTGCTTATTGGGTTTGGTGGCAACAATCGCAAAAAGAGGACTTTTGGTAAGAAATTTGATGGTAAAAAATATAGCTTTGGTTGAAAAATGACTTTGGAGATTTCTTTTGGAACAAAATTCATTATTGCATTTGGTTATCAAGAGCAAGTATGGCTTGTAGGCTAAATGGGTGGGATGCTGATGGAGTTGATAAGGTAATTACCGAAACTCGTGGAAGTTTATTTCTCAGGGATTGTCTCAATTTTCTAAAAAGTCAAGTTCATTGTGGGCAATGGGTTGAAAGTTCCTTTTTGGGAGGACATTTGGGTTGGGGAGGAGGTGTTTTCAAGTTTATTCCCTCGGTTGTTTCATCTATCTTGCTATCAAAGTATTTGTGTCGCTAATTTGATTAGAATGGATCCTCTTTAATTTCTTGGGATTTTGGGTTTTGTAGGGATCTTAATCTTAGGGAGGCTTCGGAATTAGTGGTGCTTCTATCATTGCTCAATTCATTCTCTTTTTATCAAGGTTCTTGAATAAAAGGTGTTGAGTCATTGACTCTTCTGTTACTCATGTCATCTGGTATTGAAGATTTGGAAGGTTAAAGTGCCTTCGAAAATTCAAGTTTGTGCATGGGTCATTGCTCATGGTAAGATTAACACCTGAGATGTGCTCCAAAAGAAGAGACCTTATAATAGAGTGTGGACCATTTATTTTTACACCGTAGGACAGCTTCATACTTATAGAATAAATTATCCAAGTTGGTTGGGATTTGTTAGGCGGCACCATAATCGATTTCATCCATGTTTTGTGTGGAGTTCAAAGGTTTGGGTAGAGGTGCAAGGGTTGATACTCTTTGGCATTGTGAACTTTTTTTAATGGTGTGGGTTATTTGGTTGGAGAGAAAATCAAGAATATTCGAAGATAAAGAGAAGGTGATGGAAGGATCCAATAACGAAGGCATTTGAGAATATCCCCCTTTTTTGTATCAGGTCAAGTTGGCTTGTATTGTGAGGGATATAGCTAATGGTGGTTGATGTTCTTTGGCTTTTTCTTATTTTGCATGTAATCGAGTTGGACTTCTTGTCCACGTTTGCTCATACTATGTAATGTTTTCTTCCTATTAATGGAATGTTGTTTCTTATCAAAAAATCCACAATTATCAGGTTTTGAATGGTTCAATAGGTAATATGGTGATGTACTTTTATGAATTAGCCGTATTTCAGTCCTGTTATTGCTTGCATCTAGCCATATAAGGGCATCAAGAGTACTCAAATTGGAATGGTTCACTTTCTGTCAGAGAGAACTATTTTTTGTCATCTGTATAGATATGGAAATATCAGTGCTTTCTGCCCATATTGTGTTCTGAGCATCTTTTTATGTTGCTATCTCACATTTGTGTTATAATTCCTCAAAAGATTAACCATGTAATTTGATTAAACAGCTTGTTACTCTAATTTAATGTTACTTTCTGTGCTGCGTTTTTTGAAAAGCAGTGACATCCATTTTTGACTCATGTTTCTTTGCAGCTGTTTGAAATGGGTTTAGAGCTTTCACTTGCACGTTTAAGAGCTCTTGCAAAATTTGCCTTTGGCATGGGATTGACTCAGGTATGAAGACCAAATTCTGCTTCTCAGTTGGGGTTGGGTAAGCATGCAAATCATGTGGAGCTATTTTCTCTATCCTTTCAGCATGGATAGTAGGTGACTCCAAATAGTTGGTGTAAAGCTTTATTAAGTTGTTGATATACATATGATATGGAAAATGTGGAAAGGCTGTGGTTGCAAAGTGTCTTCTTTAAAATTTAGTTATTTACCGGCTTTGATTCAATCATATCATGAAGGTGGCAGACGATAGGCTTGATGACCATCAGTTAGTAAACTTATGTTGATTTTGTGGGTCAAATATAGATACCTCCATACACCTATTTGTATTTTGTAATTTCCATATCATCCAGGTCGACACTTAGAAACTTTTTCTTAGGTTCAGATGAGAGTCAATCTCAATTTTCTGTTTAAGTTCCAAAACATTGGGATTATGCAAATTGTAATGTCTACAGCCAATATGGGCCAGAATTTGTCTCTGACTTGTTGAACAAAATCATGTTGCAGAGATCAACAAATATGAATATTATAATTTTTTATTGAATACTTTGATTTTGTATCCACTATTGATGGTGTTCATCATGTCATCCACTAAGTTATATGCAAATTCTAGCAAATCGTTTGCCCATGCCAGTATCCTAGTCAAGTAAATCCATCAGTTCATGCTGTAAGCTTCTGTAAAGGAGTCATCTACTGTTACTTATCATCACGTTTTAATCAGCATAGATATCTGCCAGAAGAAGATGCAATGGAAACCCTTTAGAGAGAGCGTAGAACGACCCAAAATATCTGTGTGTTGGTAATAAGTTTATATGTGTAGGCTGCTCCAATTTATATGATTGTTTTACAAGCTTCTCTGGAAGAAGTAATAACTATTTCTGGATGACTTTTGTAATTGTTCCATCTTTTCTGTTCAAGGTTGTATTGTCTACTCTTGCTTTCACCGCATTTGAGCTTCCTCCTAATGGTGCTATTGGAACAAGAATTCTGGAGTTTCTTTTTCACTCCAGACCTGATTTGGTGAGAATTTTTTTTCCTGGTACATATTAATTTAAATTTCTGATTAAACCATTATTGTGTTCTGCCGTAGTGTTGGGTTGAGTTTCAGTTGAAGTAGGGCAATTGCAGGGAATTATCATTGTGTTGCCTCCTTGGTTGATCGGGATGGTGGTTAATGAGTCATATTAGATTTTGGCAAAGCCTTTTTGATGCAATAAGCATAGGAACAAAATGTGTGTTAGTTATTTTCAGTTCTAGAATACCTTGGGGCAGTATGTTGGTGCTGATGCCTTATGTTCTTTTTTCACTGCCTTATAGACCTTGTTCAACATTCTCTTTAAATGTATTACGGCTATAGGGAGCACGATGATGTTGGTTAATTTATGTGTGTTGACATAGCTTGGTTTTTTTATGATCAACTATGCATTATTCTAGTGTGTACCGATGCCATGACAATTTTCAAGGACACACTGGGTCAGATGATCTGCCAATTTGCATGTGTGGTCAGTACATTGTGTTGATTTCATTTGCGACATTCCTTTTTGTAGCCTCTCTTTAGTTTCAGATTTGGGACGAGGACTATATTATAGGGATTAGGGTCTATTATTTGACTTCAATGAATCATGTGCTTTAGTTAAATCAATGATTGTAAAAGGAGAAATGAGTGAAAGAAAGAAAGAAAGGAGTTCGTAAATCACTAATCCAAGCACCATGGCTAGTCTGCACCTTTTTTTTTTTGTTTTAAAAGAAAACTTGGCAAAGTGAAACGGCTGAGCAGCTTGAAGGAAGGAAATCAACGAAACGCTTTAGTAGCAGCGAGGGAGAGCAGTTTGGGGGTTGAAGTAAACAAACACCAAGCTTTGTTCCTGGGCAAAAATGTTCGCTTCTNAAAAGAAAACTTGGCAAAGTGAAACGGCTGAGCAGCTTGAAGGAAGGAAATCAACGAAACGCTTTAGTAGCAGTGAGGGAGAGCAGTTTGGGGGTTGAAGTAAACAAACACCAAGCTTTGTTCCTGGGCAAAAATGTTCGCTTCTTTTTTGGTTTCGTTTGATTTGTTGTAGATTGGATGATGGAAAAACTAGCAAGCTATGACTGAAATATTACCTTACGATTATGAGAAAGGAGAAGGTTTTTTTTCTTAATAAATTAAGGTTGGCAATGGAGCAGAGCTTGAAGATGGAAGCGACCAATCTACTAGCTTATTATGTTTTTCACCACAAGCTACGGTCTAGTGACCCACTAACCTCGCCTAGACTGCATCTTGCACCTTTTGGCATGCAGGTCATCAGNTTTTTTTCTTAATAAATTAAGGTTGGCAATGGAGCAGAGCTTGAAGATGGAAGCGACCAATCTAGCTTATTATGTTTTTCACCACAAGCTACGGTCTAGTGACCCACTAACCTCGCCCAGACTGCATCTTGCACCTTTTGGCATGCAGGTCATCAGGTGTGCCTTTGACAACAATGCATATTACTTATTTCTTAAACCCAACCCATAGTTCTCTTGCATTCAAGTATGAAGAACATCTTTCCGGTGGTGGAATAGAGACCTCACTCTTTTAATATATTCCTAAGTTGGGTTAGGCTCATCCTAAATCACTTGCAAATAAAGAGACTCCCTTTTTTTTTTTGCCTTATTTTATGTTTTTCCTCTGGTTTCCCCTGTATCAGATGCCTCATTTTTTTATTTATCTGAGACAATGTCTTTTCCCATTGCTCATTCTGTTTATAATTTTTTNAATAAAGAGACTCCCTTTTTTTTTTTGCCTTATTTTATGTTTTTCCTCTGGTTTCCCTGTATCAGATGCCTCATTTTTTTATTTATCTGAGACAATGTCTTTTCCCATTGCTCATTCTGTTTATAATTTTTTGGGGTCTAATTCTATATGTTATACTAGTATCGGGGCTGACACTCTTGCTTGTATGTTTGGCACGGAAAAATTAGAAGTATTTTTTTTTTGGGAAGGTGAAACTAAAGTTTTAGTCCTAATTGTTTCTTTGAGTGAGTTGTTTTATCTTAGAAGTTAGAACAAATACCAAATGAGAAAAGGTATGAGATGCCTAAGATTTATTGCATCTAGAAACTTTAAGTATCTATTAGGATGCTCTAAATATTACACTATGATATGCTATGTACTATGATTGAAGTTCTTTTTTTTACTAGATGATTGCATATGTGAATTAAACAAATTGATTGTGTGTGTCTCTATATTAGTGAGTCTGGGCAATAAACAGTTTTATTATTTTTCTTTTTCACTTTTTGGGAAGTAGAAATTGCAAATACTACTTTTATATATCTAACATTTAGCACTTGGAAGAATTGGTACTGCATGGTGCAAGTTAGTGTGGAATCTAACACCACAAGAGACGACAAACTTATAATTTGCATAAGTTCCTGTTCACATATGCAAACTTCATAAGAACTTTGAAAATGTTAGCGTTGGTATTAGGTTCAGAAATAGGCGTTTGGATCATTCCTTTGTCCTCTCTCTTTTCATTGGTTCATTATCCCTAGAATTCTTTCTTGAGTGATGTAGGATATTTTTCATACTTCTATGTCTGCTACAAAATGAATTCCACCTTGTAATGACCTATGTTTGACCCGTAGTTAAGGTTCAAAATCTTTTTCATAAGTGTCATGTGCTGGTGTTAAAATTGTGTATTCCTTAAAAATTTCATATGTTATGGCTCAATGGCATTTCATGCCACAGGTTCTTTGATAAATGCTTTGTGGATTTTGGAATATGTCCAACTTGTGTTCTTGGTGGCTCCTTTTTCNTTGGTTCATTATCCCTAGAATTCTTTCTTGAGTGATGTAGGATATTTTTCATACTTCTATGTCTGCTACAAAATGAATTCCACCTTGTAATGACCTATGTTTGACCCGTAGTTAAGGTTCAAAATCTTTTTCATAAGTGTGATGTGCTGGTGTTAAAATTGTGTATTCCTTAAAAATTTCATATGTTATGGCTCAATGGCATTTCATGCAACAGGTTCTTTGATAAATGCTTTGTGGATTTTGGAATATGTCCAACTTGTGTTCTTGGTGGCTCCTTTTTCTTTTCTTGTTCATAATTACTTTTTTGAAAGGACTGCAGGTCAACATCAGAAGCGTTGATGAGGCTATAGTAATTGGTGCTGCTCTCTCGTTGTCTTCTTCAGCTTTTGTTCTGCAGGTATTTTAATTCTAGATATTCAAAGTTGATTTTGTGGAATGGAGAACTAGTTAATGTTCTTATAATCTTCCTCAACTGCATGGTATCCCTCCTATATGTTGTGAATATTGATGCACCATGTTCGTGTTCTAGGGTGTATATTGGTGCACTTGGGTATATGTCTCCTTCCTGCATGATCGGGGGGTCACACATGAGGAGGGTATTGCAAGCTTGATATATTTACTATATCCATTCGCCAATAGATTAAGATTTGGAGGAATTGGTTGTCTGACATCAATATGTGAATCAGTCTCTTTGATCCAAAATTCTTTGTTTTCAACTTGGAGAGTTCAATTTCTGATGATTAACTTTTCTGTTAGATTATCATGAGAAAAGTTAGTGCCCTGTAGAGATAGTTTACTGCATTTTAGGGTAAATATACCATCAGATAAATTGTGTTCATGTCCCCTGTGCAAGTTTTTATAGACACCTACTTATTCAGTGTGGTGGTCTGTATGCACTTGAGGCTTATTTTACCTATATGATTATCAGTAGTCTTGCAGTTTGATGAGCATAAGCATGGTAGTCAGCTCTTTATTGTATCTATTTTTTCATATATTGCAGTACTGGATTTTCTTTTATTATCTTTGGGTGCCCCTTTTGCATAAGAACTCCACCGGTGGCATAGTCCGAAGCATCGGTATGTACCTCGAAAGGCTTAGCATGATCAAAAAAGGCTAGCACCGGATCAGCCATCAAATGAAAAAAGAGTGAGATCAAATATGAAAATATGTGAAATTTTCACATTATTTTGCATAGGGGCAAAGTGTTTTTACTCATATCCTGGAACTCAGAAGGTATGTGGCATGGTGTCATAGACCAAGATCCAACAAGATGTCATATCCGAACTGTGGCATGGTACTTCGACTCTTCTAGAAATGAGAGAGATATCCCATCTAAGATTTTAGGACTTTTAAAGAGTATCAGTCAAAAGAATAACACTTTGTTACAAATACCACTAAATCATAAAACCTCATGTGGATGCCCAACCCATTGGCCGTACACCCAACCATATCTTGGCCGCTCTTACCTCGTGTAATCCTGAAGTGTCTTTTTCCCTCTGAACGTATTCTGTCTCTGTCCTTTCTGCCAGAGCATTTATTGGATTTCTCCTTCCTGGCATGCAAAATACCTGCAACCTTTTCTAAGACACTTTGCGGAAGCTGATGAAACACCACAGAGATTCTGNATGCAAAATACCTGCAACCTTTTCTAAGACACTTTGCGGAAGCTGATGAAACACCACGGAGATTCTGCTCTCTCTCTCTCTCATATCCCGGGCTGTCACATGATCCTTGCCTTCATATACTGAACCTTACGGCTGGGTATAACCCTAGAGGAGGTCTTCCCCCTCAACACAGTCGATCAATAGAACCCAATTTCTATAACTGGTTGGGAAGTGCTGTCTGGTGGGATGTGCAACGGAACTTCCTTTACTCAGTAGGTTCATTTGTGGTTTGAATTAGCATTTGTTTTTCTTATTCCTCTTCTCTTCTTTTGTTCTTTTGAAATGTGTTTCGAGTTGGTTGTTCAGTATTTCTTCTTCTGGATAAGGTTCCTGTTAAGAAGGGAAGAGGTAAGTAAGAAGTAAAGTTATTGATCGTGTATCTGAATTTACATTTGTTGGTATCACATGTTCATGGAAATATAAATGATTGTTCAAAAATGGATTTAGCTATTTGTTGCTTATTTAGTATGATATTTAGCTTCTTGCAGAGAAGGGTGAGCTTCCAACTAGATTTGGCTCGGCGACTTTAGGAGTACTTCTATTACAGGTGCTGTTGATATTCTTATTCTGGAGATATCTTGTTTTTGTTACTTTGTATAGTTTGTAATGCTATTCATATGCCATTTTTATTTTCTTTCTGAATAGGCTAGGGCTGGTCATACAAAGTAGATCAAAAACTGTTCAAGTCAATAACCTTTTTGGATCCCTACTGCTTGATATTTGCAGGACATAGCAGTTGTCCCCCTCTTAGTCATACTTCCGGTGCTGGAGAGTCAGGTTTGTGAATATCTGTATAGTTTAAGCGTTAGATATGTGGAAATTTAAATTTGTTTGAGGAAGAATTTGTAATATCCACCATCTAGTTTACTTAGATTTTGGTAGAATCTTGCTTTGTGAGGTTGTGGCACTTCAGATACTAAAGTTTTCCTTGAACTCCCGTTATTATAAGGAATAAAAAATTCTTCCTTAGCCATTCACTCAAGTTCTTGCCATCCCATTCGGGGATAGGCGGCTAATACTAATCTAATAAGTGAAGTAGTCATCACTGACCAATCAGCTCGGACACCAGACCACTTGTGCCCGCCCATTTTGTCTCGCCCCAAATGGAATGGTTGTCTTAGTTACACTGCCCTTNTAATAAGTGAAGTAGTCATCACTGACCAATCAGCTCGGACACCAGACCACTTGTGCCTGCCCATTTTGTCTCGCCCCAAATGGAATGGTTGTCTTAGTTACACTGCCCTCGACCCGGGTACCCACATCCGCTTTTCTCCACCTGAATGTTATTTTTTATGTCAAGGCATATGCAATAAGTGACTGAAATATGAAAACACGAGGCGCGTTAAACTCCAGTTCAATACATATAAGAAGAAGAGCCAGCTCTAAAGTGGGGGTTGATGTGGTGACTGAACCTTTTCGCATTTCTTATGGTCTTAAAATAACATGGGTGAAAGATCTAATGTGGTGGTTTGTAGGCAAGGATCAAACTTTTGTTTTGGTTAGCTCAGAAATGGACAAGTTTTAGAAAGAGAATGAGAACAAAACAAAATTTGAAATTTTGATTCTGAAGTATTGGAAGAAAAACTCCAAACTGAAACAAAATTTGGATCCTTGCCTAGCCTATAGGTAATGTTGTCTACATCTTGTCCTATATTCAGGTTATTGCTGAAATTATTGTCTGCAGAATCTGGTGGAGGAAAGTATTTGGCCAATGCTTGCTAAAGAAAGCTTGAAGGCTTTGGGTGGACTGGGTTTACTTTCTCTTGGAGGAAAATACCTTCTTAGGCAAGTGTTTGAGGTGTGCACTCTTCTGGAAATAAAGCTTCAAATGCATGTAAGGTGCATATAACTATGTGATGCTGAAACCAAATTTTGTCTATTGATTCCAGGTTGTTGCAGAAACGAGAAGCTCAGAAGCTTTTGTTGCTCTTTGCCTACTGACAGTTGCCGGGACATCACTTCTGACTCAGAAGTTGGGCTTCAGTGACACGGTTTGATAAGTTTTTCTCATGTATGGAAATGAAAATAACTCTGGTTCAAATTAACTTGTTGATGTAATCATCAAATTTCTTGTCATGTGCAGCTGGGAGCCTTTTTAGCAGGGGCTCTGTTAGCAGAAACCAATTTCCGAACACAGATTGAAGCTGATATAAGGCCTTTTAGAGGCTTGCTTCTTGGTTTGTTTTTTGTAACTACTGGGACATCTATCGACATGCAGGTACTTCTTATTTCCAATGTAATGTGTCCATCCTTGTGTTATCTGTACTCCTCATTTTTTCTCTCCAGAGTCCGTGTACTTGCAAACAGGTCAAGATGGTGATTAAATGATAAATACATAGTTCGCCCAAAAACACATTAAAACTTTGTAGGGCACGTTTAACTTGGGAACTGATATCTAAATGTTTAGTATAATTTTTTTTTTTTTCTCAACTTTATAACTAAAATTAAGGATCTTTATAATGCCTTTATACTTTTTTTTTTTTGCCTGTCCAGCTTCTTTTGCGAGAGTGGCCAAATGTACTTTCACTCTTGACAGGTCTAATTGTGATCAAGACTCTGATTATAACAGCAATTGGTCCCCGTGTTGGACTAAGTCTACAAGAAAGTGTAAGAATAGGGTTTCTTCTTTCCCAGGGAGGTGAATTTGGATTTGTAGTTTTTTCTCTGGCAAACAGGTAATTTGAGATTCACATATTGCTGGTACAAGTTCATGCATTCTAATTATTCTAGGTTTCTCTTTGCTTATTTCGTTATGCCTTGTTGTAGGCTTGGAGTGCTACCACTTGAGCTAAACAAGCTTCTCATAATTGTTGTGGTGTTATCAATGGCATTAACGCCCCTACTTAATGATGTTGGAAGAAAGGCTGCTGATTTTATTAGTGAGAAGTTTGATGAGGAGGATGTAAGTTACTACATTATTCTCCTTTGGTTTAAAATTTTTAATAGATGATAGAAAATGAGAAAATTGAGGTAATTGTAGTAGGCCACTATATCATGTCGTGGCTTCATTGTTTCAAGAGGGGAGATCTCTGATTCCAGATCTGAATTAGATTAGTTATCAGAAAGCGTGGTGTCATTTTGAATTTAGTGGAGCAACACCTAAAATGTTCAAAGGGGCAACTGAGAGACTGGGTGCTTGAGATTATCAATGTACATAACTAAGAAAGTTGTTGGCAATGCTTCCCTGTATGATGTTTTGTGCAGCTGCAACTTTTGCAGATATTAATGGATAATTGAAATTTTATGTTATGTATCTGGACTTTTTTGAAGCTAATTTTCTCTGAATTTTACGCAATTTGTTTCCCAACTATTATAAAGTTCTCTTAAAGTGAACATTATAATTGGAATTTGGAACAGAAAACTGATGGCTCGGTGAACTTCGATGCTAGTGAACCAGTAGTTATCCTTGGATTTGGGCAAATGAGTCAGGTACAGCAGTTCTTCTAACATGTATAGATTTAGCAGAGTTGTAGCTCCTCTCACTGACTTTAAAGTTTTCTGCCGTACAGGTCCTTGCCAATTTCTTGTCTACTCCACTAGCCTCTGGAATAGACGGCGATGCTGGATGGCCTTATGTGGCTTTTGATCTTGATCTTTCTATTGTGAAGGTCTGTGGTATTGATGTCCTTCAGAATTTTGAAAGTACAAATTTTTGTTTTCTTAAAACTTTTTTCAGGCCATAATCATAAAATATACACACCGGGAGTTTGTAGTAGATGTCTTCCTCTCTGTGGAAGGCATGGTAAACTTGTTCACTGTTTGGATTCTCATGGATAGGAAATTTATGTAGAGTCACATACACATGTCCCAACTGCATTATCATAGTTTGCAATTTATCTTATTTTCTTAGGATGGCTAATGAAATAATCTGTGGAGATGTTCTTCTCGTAGAATGATTTGATCCTTGGGATGTGAGCCTTGAAAATTTTGTATGCGAGACGGTGGACATGATTAATAGATCTTCTGATTAATTTAATATTTGAAGCTGTTATTTTTATACATGCATATGCATACTTATGAATTTTTATGTATGGTGTTTAAGTTAGCATTTTGATTTTCTTTTTGCAGACTTATATGGCTGTTTAGTAATAAACGTTGACTGCTTGATTGGCATAGAGTTTGAGGACTGCATTCAGAGACCCTCAAATAATTGCATTTTAGTGTAATGAGGTTTAACCATGCATGAGGTGTTCCTTTGACATTTGGTGGCTTGTGTCAAAAAAAAAATCCATGGGTATAAAATTAATTACGTGCCTAGAGGCATCCTATATTTTTTACCCTCACGTAATCTTATATCCCATTGCATCATCTCATAGGCTTTGTGCTTAGCATGAGTAGGTAGTNCAATAAAAAAATCCATGGGTATAAAACTAATTACGTGCCTAGAGGCATCCTATATTTTTTACCCTCACGTAATCTTATATCCCATTGCATCATCTCATAGGCTTTGTGCTTAGCATGAGTAGGTAGTACAGTTCTTGCCATTTTTTATCTTGCACCTCTGTGATTTCTGAACAGTGCTTTCATAGACTACAAACAATATTTAGCTGTTTTATATGTTTGGAACGAAAAAATGCCCAAGTGACTCTAATGTTTTTCACTATCAATGTAACAGGCATATAGGAAGCTTGGTTTCCCAATCCTGTATGGTGATGGATCACGTCCGGCTGTTTTGCAGTCTGCTGGTATTTCTTCTCCCAAAGCTGTCTTGGTAATGTACACTGGGAGAAACAGGACCATTGAGGCTGTCCAAAGGATTCGACTTGCCTTCCCTGCGGTACTTTTGTCCTTCAGCCACCTTCTTTCTCTCATCTCCCCCCCCCCCCAAAAAAAAAAATTTGAAAAATAAAAAATAGAAGAAGATTGTATAATGTCCATATTTTGAAGTGACATAATGCAGATAGACCATGAAACATTCTGGCCATTAGTTATAGTTGAAAACCTTGTCATCTTTTTGCTACCTGTGGCTAAGCTTATGAATCTAAAGCCCTTTTATCTGATTGAACCCTCATCCATACCGCACATGATTGATCTCTATGATGTAGAAATGTATCGAGCGTGAACAAGGCCATGAAGTGGCTTACCTTGGTCTTGCAAAACATAATGGGATTTTGTCCCATTTCTATTAAACTTCATCTGATTCACTCCTCTCCTGGTGAAACTCTCCTTTGCAGATCCCGATATATGCCCGTGCTCAAGACATCGGTCATCTCTTAGATCTGAAGAAAGCAGGTGTGACAGATGCTATCCTAGAAAATGCAGAGGTATCACAGAATTGATTTGTCCTTTTCATTAGGTTTTAGGTGCAAAATTGCTCTTGTAATGTTGCCTGGGCATTCTAACTCTATGCAATTCTTTCATGCAGACAAGTTTACAGCTTGGCTCTAAGCTTCTGAAAGGACTTGGTGTCATGTCTGATGATGTGACCTTTCTTAGTCAGCTTGTTCGAGATTCCATGGAGCTTCAAGCTCGGGAAGCACTGAGCAGGACTGATGATCAAGAGTCTGATAGTATGAAGCCATTGCAGGTACTTATTACCCACCCACCCATACAGCATACAGATGTACAGATATCCACATATATGTCGTGTGCGTCTATGTTCATGGAAACCTGGGTTGTGTACATACGGCTTTTCTACAAATCACAGATCTGTATTGACATGGCATCAAGCTGTGTATCGTAGAAATGAGAACTGTTGGAATTGCGGCCAATAATATCTCATTTTCTATTCTTGTTTCTATCTTCTCCTTGCTCATCCTCTCTATGGATCGTTTGACTTTCCATAAAAAATTTTGGGGGAATCTGGCTGATAGCTCTTTTAGATCATTTGCCTTGCCAGTAAATAGTCGTCCATAAGCCTTCCGGCTAACGAGGAAACTACTCCAGTCTTCCCATTCATTTCCAATGGATCCTTCTTCTCCCTAAGAATTGAACGAACCAAGTTCACATATATGAGAGTGAGGAATAAAAACCAACAATGAACTTCCCACTTTTGATGTCCCACGATTCTGCTAGTACAACCACACGGTGTTATCTATTTAAACCTAATTGTCAACATCATCTTGTAGATGTTATTATACCTANAAAAACCAACAATGAACTTCCCACTTTTGATGTCCCACGATTCTGCTAGTACAACCAAACGATGTTATCTATTTAAACCTAATTGTCAACATCATCTTGTAGATGTTATTATACCTGAAGTCATGATTAATCTGCAGCATTAACATATGTAATTCGGGTGAATCTTCTGCCATTTTCATGATGTGCTTTATTTCTATAAGCCACGTGAATCTCCACACTATATTTGTGGACTTGTCCTAATGTCTATGTACATCTTTTTCGTTTGAATTGATATGTATAAGCAATAGGATGTTACTGAATGAAAGAATTTTTTTGCTGGGAAAGGTAAGAGTTGCAGACATGGTTGGGTCTCAGAGACCTATATCATCTACCTCAACCACCGGAAAATTATTGATGGGGAGCCAGACAGAGGGAAATGGCATCTTGACCCTTGAAGGGGAAGTTGATCAAGAAGAGAATAATGGTGAGCCCTATCAATCCAAGGATCTAGAAGGCAAAGGCGTTCTATATTGTGACCTGGACGCAGAGAGCATTTCTTCAGTCAATAACACAGAGATGGATTTGGACAAATTGCTGTAGATCCATCAATACCTCGCAAACAACCATTGTAGGAACTTCGAATATGTTTTTGGCTTTTGTGTTCCAAGCTTGGAGGTTGCTGGTGATGTTTTCTGAAGCATCATGCTCTATTTTGCTCCATGGTTCAATGGTTTTTGAACCTTCAGTTTAGTGGCTGGGCCAAATTTACATGTTGACTATGGGGAGGAAAGCTACTACAACTGCTTATATCCTAGAAATTGTCGTACCAAAGTTCAAATTATTCAGAACCACACAAACGTTTATAGCTGAATTTGATGAGAATGATTTTTTTCAATGAAAGGCATCGTTGCTGTTCTCAGCTATACTTTGCTTCCTACTGCCCTAATGATGTTGAGGAAACCAGAAACCATTTTCACCTGAACTGCAATTTTTTGTTAGAAAGCTTCAGTTATTTGAGTCGGTTGTAAGTGCTGGCATGAATGAAGATGTGATTTAGTGTTTTTGTCTTCTGGTTCTGGTTCACACTGGGCAATGTGGTCTCATAGACAACTTAAACATGGCAAAAATGAATGTTGAGTTCATAACTTGAATTCCAGTATACTGGAGAAGATCTCTCTTAGGGTTCGTTTGATTGCCGTACCGTAAAAGAATGAATTTTATTAAGTAATATTGACTAATTTATGTATTATCTTAGGATTTATTTGGTTACCGTATAGTAAAAGAATGAATTGTTGAGAAAAATATTAAGTATTGTAATCCAATAGTATGGATAGAGTAACAATTGGTGAGACACTGGATTAAGATTAGGATAATAGAGTAACAATTACATAAATTTTTTCTAGTTATTAATGTTTTGTTTATTTGGTGACTAAAATAGTAAATTTATTATTTAATACGCTTGAATTAGACTATAACACCACTTTATTATAATTAACTCAATAATACGAATAGAGTGTATTATTTGAATAAGAATTTAAAATAAGATTATATATAATATGGAGTGTTTTTTACAACCAAAGGCAATATAAAATTAAATTATAAAATTTTAATTTATTATAATTTTGTAATTCATCCTTTAATATTACAACCAAACGATCAATTATAAATCATTTATAGGTATGGCCAAGTTCTACTATAAAATCTCAATCTTTACTGATTTATTGGCTAGCATGCTATTCTGAGTGAGCCGAATTGTGGGATTTTATAGATAGTCTTGATCAAATTCGGTCTGAGAGTGAAGGGAGAAGATGTACATGGTCAGAGTTACACATGTCCATTGGGTTGATCATTAACTTCACCTCCAATGAAATTAAATTATGCTTGATTTATTCCTCACAAATATCTTAGTTTTAATGTGGATAATCTACCTTTGATAGGGTCGGAGAAAAAATTAGTCGAAGTACATATAAGTTAGTCCGAACACCCTTCAACGTTGAAAAAAAAAAAAAAAATTAAAAATATCACTTATCAGCTCATTTTGCGCACATTGGACGCGAGTCCAATGGGAACGAGCAAATTCTTATTGTACAATTTAGAGTAACTCCAATCCAAATCTCTATTTTAACTGTTCAAAATATATTTAAATATTAAACTCTCAATTTTAGAAAATTAATTTTACAAATTCATTTCAACCATGTTTTCTATTTTAGCTAACTATTTTAACTTATTTTTAATAATTTAAATTAAAAATACAATGTAACGCACCACGACATGACCATATTTTTAACAGTCATACTTAACCTAAAATTCAACCAAAAACTTAAATCAATTCAGTCCAATAGAGTTCTCGGCATGGGGAAAGGGGTTCAGTAAGGAGAAAAAAGAGAGAGAAATCAGGTTGAGAGAAAGAAAAGAAAAAAAGAGACAGAGATCAGTTTTGGGTATTGCAGCATATATATATATATATATATATATATATATAGAGAGAGAGAGAGAGAGAGAGAGAGAGAGGTGAAGGGGGAGTGGGGTTTTGGCGAGGCTGAAAGGCTCGCTAGAAATGGAGAGTCATTTTTGGTGAAATGGGAAATAGAGAGTGGGTTGTATAGGTTTTTTGGTGTTGGACGAGGTAAAATAGCTAAAAATGGGAAATAGAGGGTGGGTTGGAGATTGACTAACATTTTCCATCACATTTCAAGCAATGCTTGGATGCTGCTCAATATTTCCTAAACATGATGGACCCAAGGAAGGACAAGTTAATACATTTATGCAGAAGGGTTAATACTATCAGATGGAGGAACCATACCAGTTGAGGACATTGGCAACGACTGCTTCTTCCCACAATACAACCAGTTTGATCCTTGTAACCAACAGACACCATATGCTATTGAAAACAGCTTATCTTTTCATGATCTTTTGCGCAGTTCTTTCATTGAACAATTAGTTAAAAGTAACTAAATATAACAAAGTTCAGAGCGCACACATAGTCAAGGAAGTTTGCATAAATTAGTACCACAACTGTTTATTATGAGATCTAGATAATAAGTAAAGGTTGCTATTCCGAAAAAAATGAATGAGGAATCTTTCAAATTCAACATGTAGAGCTGCTGAGCTCTTTACCTAATTTGAGTGAGCCGATGTAGATATGTGGGATGTGAGATATCCTCTCCCACTGCTTACCTCTTTTCTTCTTGCAGAGTCTTTCGAGATGAGGACAATCTTGAATTGATAGATGCTGAAGAGTACTGAGTCGTTGTAGTCCTTCTGGTAAGGATATCAAACGTTCACAGTTAGAAATTGCCAATGATCTAAGAGAAGAAAAATTCTCAAACCAATCTGGCAAAACTGTGAGATAACAAAAGCTATGAATCACCAAACTTTGCAGTGTGGTGACATGTTGTAGACTTTGTGGTAAAAATAACCCAGGACAAGATACAATGTNATAGAGTAACAATTACATAAATTTTTTCTAGTTATTAATGTTTTGTTTATTTGGTGACTAAAATAGTAAATTTATTATTTAATACGCTTGAATTAGACTATAACACCACTTTATTATAATTAACTCAATAATACGAATAGAGTGTATTATTTGAATAAGAATTTAAAATAAGATTATATATAATATGGAGTGTTTTTTACAACNGAGATAACAAAAGCTATGAATCACCAAACTTTGCAGTGTGGTGACATGTTGTAGACTTTGTGGTAAAAATAACCCAGGACAAGATACAATGTTCAAGCTTCGAAGTGCAGAAAGATTTTGGAAACCGTCTGGCAGAAAATCCAGTTTCGGGCAGCTCATGATGGACAACTGCTCGAGTGCTGTGAGAAGGCATAGTCCACTTGGTAAAGAAATCAGATTTNGCATGCTATTCTGAGTGAGCCGAATTGTGGGATTTTATAGATAGTCTTGATCAAATTCGGTCTGAGAGTGAAGGGAGAAGATGTACATGGTCAGAGTTACCCATGTCCATTGGGTTGATCATTAACTTCACCTCCAATGAAATTAAATTATGAGTGATTTATTCCTCACAAATATCTTAGTTTTAATGTGGATAATCTATCTTTGATAGGGTCGGAGAAAAAATTAGTCGAAGTGCATATAAGTGAGTCCGAACACCCTTCAACGTTGAAAAAAAAAAAAAAAGAAATTAAAATATCACTTATCAGCTCATTTTGCGCACATTGGACGCGAGTCCAATGGGAACGAGCAAATTCTTATTGTACAATTTAGAGTAACTCCAATCCAAATCTCTATTTTAACTGTTCAAAATATATTTAAATATTAAACTCTCAATTTTAGAAAATTAATTTTACAAATTCATTTCAACCATGTTTTCTATTTTAGCTAACTATTTTAACTTATTTTTAATAATTTAAATTAAAAATACAATGTAACGCNAATCTCTATTTTAACTGTTCAAAATATATTTAAATATTAAACTCTCAATTTTAGAAAGTTAATTTTACAAATTCACTTCAACCATGTTTTCTATTTTAACTAACTATTTTAACTTATTTTTAATAATTTAAATTAAAAATACAATGTAACGCACCACGACATGACCATATTTTTAACAGTCATACTTAACCTAAAATTCAACCAAAAACTTAAATCAATTCAGTCCAATAGAGTTCTCGGCATGGGGAAAGGGGTTCAGTAAGGAGAAAAAAGAGAGAGAAATCAGGTTGAGAGAAAGAAAAGAAAAAAAGAGACAGAGATCAGTTTTGGGTATTGCAGCATATATATATATATATATATATATATATATAGAGAGAGAGAGAGAGAGAGAGAGAGAGAGAGGTGAAGGGGGAGTGGGGTTTTGGCGAGGCTGAAAGGCTCGCTAGAAATGGAGAGTCATTTTTGGTGAAATGGGAAATAGAGAGTGGGTTGTATAGGTTTTTTGGTGTTGGACGAGGTAAAATAGCTAAAAATGGGAAATAGAGGGTGGGTTGGAGATTGACTAACATTTTCCATCACATTTCAAGCAATGCTTGGATGCTGCTCAATATTTCCTAAACATGATGGACCCAAGGAAGGACAAGTTAATACATTTATGCAGAAGGGTTAATACTATCAGATGGAGGAACCATACCAGTTGAGGACATTGGCAACGACTGCTTCTTCCCACAATACAACCAGTTTGATCCTTGTAACCAACAGACACCATATGCTATTGAAAACAGCTTATCTTTTCATGATCTTTTGCGCAGTTCTTTCATTGAACAATTAGTTAAAAGTAACTAAATATAACAAAGTTCAGAGCGCACACATAGTCAAGGAAGTTTGCATAAATTAGTACCACAACTGTTTATTATGAGATCTAGATAATAAGTAAAGGTTGCTATTCCGAAAAAAATGAATGAGGAATCTTTCAAATTCAACATGTAGAGCTGCTGAGCTCTTTACCTAATTTGAGTGAGCCGATGTAGATATGTGGGATGTGAGATATCCTCTCCCACTGCTTACCTCTTTTCTTCTTGCAGAGTCTTTCGAGATGAGGACAATCTTGAATTGATAGATGCTGAAGAGTACTGAGTCGTTGTAGTCCTTCTGGTAAGGATATCAAACGTTCACAGTTAGAAATTGCCAATGATCTAAGAGAAGAAAAATTCTCAAACCAATCTGGCAAAACTGTGAGATAACAAAAGCTATGAATCACCAAACTTTGCAGTGTGGTGACATGTTGTAGACTTTGTGGTAAAAATAACCCAGGACAAGATACAATGTTCAAGCTTCGAAGTGCAGAAAGATTTTGGAAACCGTCTGGCAGAAAATCCAGTTTTGGGCAGCTCATGATGGACAACTGCTCGAGTGCTGTGAGAAGGCATAGTCCACTTGGTAAAGAAATCAGATTACTACAATTTTCAATGGACAAGGTTTGAAGGGAGTTCAAACCTCCAATCCCCTCCTCTGGCAATAGGACCATCTTGTGGCAGCCACTAATCTCCAAAACCTCCAAAGCTTTAAGTTTTTGCAATCCAAGAGGAAATTTGGTTAGCTCCTCACAGCAGCTAATGATCAAAAACTTCAGAGCAGTGAGGTTCTCTAGCTCGGAGGGCAATGAACGAAGATTAGGGCATGAGCGAATCTCCAAAGATGTAAGACTTTTATTGTTTTTCAGCAATTCCCTAGACAAATGCAGTAACTCTGGAAATGTGTGGATCACAAGAGTGGAAAGTGAGGTTACACATTCCATGGAATTCATAATCTTCGGGTGGCAATCCCGCAGCTCCAAATGTTGAAGAACTGGAAATTTTGGTGTAGTTGTCAGATTTGGACATTTGTCCACTGTTAACTTTTGCAGGCAAGTGAATGCCTCTCTGTCATCAATGCTGGACCATTCTTCCAAGCTCGGGAAATCCTCGAGTGTCAAGTCTTTGAGAGATGGGAATGGCTTTTCAGTGTCACCAGAGTAAAAATCTTCAGCAATGCACAAAACACTATCCATTCCTTGCAGACAGAGACTCTTAAGGAATGGAAGCTGCCCAAGGGTAGGCAAATTCTTACATCTTCTGCAGTTGATCAAGACAACCACTACCAGATTTGGAAGAACCCAATCTGGGAACTTGATTCCTGAATATCCTTTGATGAAGAGCTTTGTAAGATTTGGATGTGGTTCAAGGCATTCCAGTATATCTTCCACAGCATCGCTATCTTTCTCATGTGATGATCCTGATGAACCAAGATTTCTCCTATATGTTACCTCGCGTGAAGCGGTCCCTTTTGCAGGTTTGAAGTTGAGACCACCGCTATTTCCCCATTGGAACCTTAATGAATGAAGATGTTTCTTCCCCTTCATATTAGCCTTTGCTGCTGCTTTTGCATCTCTTACATTCTCCAAGCATTTTAGGTTAAGCTCACCCCTTAAATTCAGAGATTTAAGTTCTCCAATGCCTTGCCCAATCTCCTTCCCCACAATATATGTTGGCAAAGTTTGAAGGTGAACCAAATTTCCTATTCCAGCAGGCATGTGGATCAATCCTTCACACCCAAATACATTGAGGTGTCTCAAGCTAATTAAACTAGCCAAGCTAAATGGCAGCTCCACAAGGTTATAGCATCCTGATAGGTTCAGTGTCTGCAAATTACAGAGATTGCAGATGGTATGGGGAAGAGTTTGGATTGAAGTGCTTGAGAGGTCAAGGTATCTCAAACATATCAAAGCACTAATTGATTCATGCAATCTTTTAATGCCACATCCACTTAAATCCAGGATCCTTAAGTAGATAAAACTCATAGGCAGAATAGAAGGAAGCTCGTCAGTATTCCCCCCAGGAGACAAGAGGAGGAGTGTCCGTAGACATTTTGCTTTGAACAAGTCCTTTGGGAAAGAAGATAAATCGAAATTGCAAACAACTGATGAGTGGCGTGTTTGAGCAAGATTACCTCGGGCTACACCATGCTCTAGTATTGCGAAATCATGTCCTCCAATGAATCGCGCAAGATCGTGAATGAGATCATGCATTTTGTACAATATGTTGCCATCTGCACATCTTTCAACTTCTTGAAAGAAACAAAAGCACAACAAATCATTGAAATACTCATCGCCTATGTCCTCCAGTAATCTGTTCCCTCCTTGTGGTAGAATCAAGCCACCAGCCATCCACATATGGATCAACTTCTCCTTCTTGATTTCATAATATTTGGGAAATAATGCACAAAATACAAAGCATTGCTTGAGATATAGGGGCAAATGAACGTAGCTCAACCTTAGAGCTGGCAAAATGTGACTTTGGCATTCCTTGTGGTTCCAAAGCTCACTCTCTTCCACAAACAACCAATCCTTTTGCTCTCTTTTGAAGCGCAATAGACTTCCCAAAGTTTTTGCTGCCAATGGCACACCTCCGCACTTCTTGATGATTCTTTTGCCTATGGCCATCAGATGAGGATGCCCCTCTTCTCCATGAGAAAAAGCTTGTTTCTTGAACAGAGCCCAGCAATCATCGTCACACAGACCCTGGAGATGGTACAATGAAGTGGTGCCTGTAATTGATGCAACTTTGGTACTACGCGTAGTGACCATTACTCTGCTTCCTTCCACACCATGCCTCAATAAATCTCCCAGTTCTTCCCACTCTTCTTGATCTTCATTCCACACATCATCCAAAACAAGCAAAAATCTCTTCCCACTTAATGATTTCTGAAGTTGCAGTTGAAGTAGATCCATCTCCAAAAGTTCACACTTTGTTCCCGTTGCAGACTCTATAACAGTCCTAATGATCTTTCTTACATCAAAATTCTCAGACACATAGACCCATATTTTTAAGCCAAAATAATGGGCAACCTTCTCATCATTGTATACTAGTCGAGCTAGAGCTGTCTTCCCAAGGCCCCCAATACCAACTATTGGAATAACCAAAATATTCCCCATGGTTTTGCCTCTGCAGGTAGGTAACAAAAGCTCCAAAAGATTCTTTTTGTCCTCCTCTCTTCCATAAATTTCTGATTTTATCACAAACGAGCCGGTTCCCCTTTTTCTACCTAAACTCTCGGACTGCCTGACTACACCCCCTTCTCTAAAATTTAATTTCGTTCCCTTTTTGGCAATCTCATCTAACTCTTTAAGCTTATTCTGAAGCTTACATATAAGGTCAAAAAGTTGCTTTGATGGTTCATAAGGCAGAAACAGGCTCCGTACCTGTTTGCTGATGCTGCTGCCGCGACGCTCACATAGTATGATTTCCACTGCAATCTCATCCAGTAAATCCTCAGACTCAAAAGCTATGTCTTTAAGCTTCAGCATCCAATCTTCAACTTCTTGTTCTGTTGCTCGTCGATTTTGTGCATCTTCAAGAAAACCTTGAACCATAGGTAATGAGGCCTGTAGTTGTTTGATATTCTCCCTCAGGTGGAAGAGATCGTGAAACTTCTCCAGGAAGGGGGAAGCTAACTTCTCGACAAGTACCTGTAAAAGTAGGGGTAGGACTAAGTCTGCCATTTTCATGCTCACTGGAGAGAAAATTAGGAAAAAAGATTGAGACTACTGAATAAAGGGATTCACTTCGATGGATTTCTGCAAGGCTTGCATAGCTACTGCACTGATAACTAGGGAAGTAGAGAATATGCAACTTAGCAGTTGTAATATCCTAGTTTGACTAAATGTAAAAATATTTTGCCTGGCTGCCCTGTATTTTTGTGATTTCATGTATCCCCCAAACCAATTTCTTTTATTTCTCCATTGCACCTTTATGTTTCAGTTATTCCATGATACTATTAAGATTCTTCTCAAATGCACCCCATCCATGATGCTGTTCAGGGGGTCAATATGACAATTTAACATTGTTTACTTTGCACATCCTCTGCAGTGATTGTTTTGACTTCAACATGGCCATATCAAATGACAATAATGGTTTCCATAATTTCATTCCATTGTAGGCTTGTTTATACGTTAGAGCACACATTTTCCCTCACACCACTTAATAAAAATTAACATCTGGGGCATGTAAATATCTAGTTAATCTAAACTGCAACATGAGCAAACTCATGAGTATGTAATCAAATTGTTATGTTTGGCCTCATTTATTTTTCAAAACACTGTTATTGATTGAAACGCGCAACACTATATAGTTTTATCTAGTTAAGATATGTAAGATACATATTTACTCAGCCCAATTAGTTGCATCAGAGCTAGTTATGCAATCCCCACTCACCTTCCCCTGTCATGAGGACAAGTATTGGGTAGTTATCAACTTCCAAAACATGCAATAACATCAGGGGTTCAAAAATCATCACGAGTAAATAAAGCTATGAAACAGAGTTTCCGACTTTAACTTGGTTCGAGTGATGTAATGATGTTTGAAATGTATGCACATCTCCATGGTTATGCTATAGCAAAGCAAATATAATGGTAGCATGTGATGAGTAGTCCATAGCATTTCAACAGTAAGGCAATGAAGATGCTTAATGCAACTGTAATTCAGTAATTTTGAGTGGTAAGATTAGCAGCCAACAAAAGTTGAATAAGGCAAGGATCGAAATTCCCATAGTTCGGATGATTCGGAAATGTTTTGACTAATGTTTTAGAATTAAAATTCTACATTTTTCTCATATACAAATATTTTCTAAAAGGAAAATATTATTCGTACCTAAAATGTTGAACTAATTTGTTGACGTAATCAATCACAACCATTGAATTGGTGGTGAATTCCAACAAATACTTAGACACACAATTAAATCACTGTCGGTGATTAATAAGTTCATCAAATCATGTTTGCAATTTAGGTCTAATAGCATTACTCTTTCTCAAAACATTTTAAACTATTCTTATTTCCAAGCGGGTTAATTGCACCAGAGGTCCCCAAAGTATAGAGTTTGTCAGATTTTGATCCCCAGTATTTTAATTGCATCATTTAAGTCCCTAAAATATTGAATATGTTTCTATGTAGTCCTTCATGCAAACAACATACAAATTGTTAACGATTTTTTACCATAAACTTATCACATGATTTTGAAATATGAGCAACAAATAATTTGGGTAGCTGTTGACCACAATTTGAATAACTCTTGACCAAAAATGTGCAATATAGAGTTCTTAACCAAAATTATGATCAAAATTGTGTAATTTAGGTAGCTCTTTGACCAATATGGATAGTTCTTGACCACAATCATGATCAAAACTGTGTAATTTAGGTAGCTCTTTAACCAAAATTTTGGTAAAAATTTGGTCAAAAGTTATCTAAATTATTTTTTTGTCCATATTCAGCAATTTGAATGTTGCTTGCTTCACGGACCATGTCGAATAGATAAACTTCATTCCTTGGAGACTTCTAATACAATTAACCCCTTCTAACTGAAACTATATATTTAACTCGGTTCTGAAAAATTTTTCCACATCCAAACATTTTCAAAAAAAAAATTCCAAACTATTTCAATTTCCAAGCTAACTGACACTGTAAATCGAAATGAAATTTTAATCTTTGGTAGAGAAAATTGTAAATTTCCACAAATAGAGAGGCCAGATATGAAAAAACAAAGAAACAACAAAACAAATAATTAACGACGTATCTTTGTGTGAACAAGATCTGGAGGAAATCCTCGCTATCTGCGAAGAAAGTTGTCGTTTGTTGGACCTCCCATTTCATTGGACCTCTGATATATCCGAAGAGAAAGCCGTCCATGGGCGGCGGCGAAACCCCACAACTGGAAAACCAGTTACGCCTCCGTATGAAGACCCATGCTTGTTGCTACCATACCATTCAAATCTATATCATAAATCGGATAGTGTTTGAAGTTATGGAGTATATTTTTCCCAAAATTTCACACATGCAACGTACACTTTTCCCCTAAATTTCAAGAATACCACATACATTCCACAACTGGGGCTGCTCCTCGAACCGGCGTGCCAAGCTTGAAAAGTTTATTTTTTAATTAAATTTAAAAAATTATTTAAATTTAATTTGTTTAGAGAATAAGCTGAGCTCAAAAATAAGTCGAGTTTGACTCGCGCTTGTATTCTAAACGAACCTAAAAACTTATTTAAGTTTAGATTTGTTTAAAAAATCAACTAAACTTGCCCGAGCCAAANATTTCAAGAATACCACATACATTCCACAACTGGGGCTGCTCCTCGAACCGGCGTGCCGAGCTTGAAAAGTTTATTTTTTAATTAAATTTAAAAAATTATTTAAATTTAATTTGTTTAGAGAAAAGGTGAACTCAAAAATAAGTCGAGTTTGACTCGCACTTGTATTCTAAACGAACCTAAAAACTTATTCAAGTTTAGACTTATTTAAAAAATCAACTAAACTTGCCCGAGTCAATTTCAAGTCAAGCTTGAGTAGCTCAATTTAATTAACAGCTTCATCCACAACACTCAATTGCACATACATACACACACTCTAATGCATATACAATATAATAATTCAGTATACAGTAACTTTAATCACGAGTATCACTAATTCGTTAATATACAATTACTAGTAATAATTGGTGTAGAATAATACACTTTCAATATTAAATTTTGAGTAGTAATAGTGCAATTTTTATATTTTTAATAATAATGTTTTTAAATTTTGTTGTACTTATGTACTTCAAAATTAGAATGAACAGCAAAAAAAAATTAAAATATAGATAAAAGGACATAGGAAAGTATGAATTAGTCGGATTATCTAATATTGAGGAGCTTGTTGGTTTAATTGTCAAAGAAAAGTGTAAAAATTTGATATTTTTAAAGGAACAAAAATTATTTTAAATTTTGTAATATTATATCAGAATAAAAACTCAATAATGGTTAATATTTATCTAATTTTTATTTTCTTGATTATAAATTTATCCCAATTTTTTTTCACAGCTCCAATACCAAACAATTCAACTAAAACAATTACCAATACTAAATAATTCTATTAATCCACATTTACATCTTTCTTATTTTTTTTCTATTTATTTTAGTTTTAAAATATTATTATTTAAAATATAAAAAATTTGCTCAATCAATATTAAATTTTTAGTATTGTAAGGTATTTTCGAGCACGTGATTATTGATAGTCTACATATACATTTTGTGGATTGTACTTGAAATGACTATAAATTAATTATTATTAACTATATATGTGTTTTTGAAAAATCAATAATTGGGTCCACGGCGTTCTAGGTTGTCGACCAATTGTCGAAGCAAAAGAAGTCGATGGTGCCTTTTTTTGAGTTTTAATTTTTCTTGCCTCTTTTTTTTTTTTTTTTTGCCTATAAATTGAGTCTTTCTTAATTGTAATTGCCTTATGCTCTCATTGGCTTAGTCCAATTTTCATACAAAATTCTATGTCCAGAATATGATTAATTCGTAAAAAATTTTACTAAGAGTTCAGAAAAGTGGGACATAGGCAAACATGTAAACTCAGTAGGTTTATCTTTCTATTATGATTATGTTTGTTTTTTCATATTATCAATTGTATTTGTACAAGTAGCTCTTTGTTTATGCTTGTAGAGAATTTGTGTTTATCTGATATGGGTATGCTTTGTTTTTGTCATCCTTAGGAATTACAATAGTTTTAGTGCATAACTAGATTGTAAGTTCCGAATTACCCTTGGTTCGATTTGATGCGATCCATTGGTTTGCATTTGTATTTAGTGTGGTGGTTTTTTTTGTTAATTGAATTAGTGGCAATAGAGTATTTTTTTTTTAGTTTGTTGCATAAGGAGAGTCAAGACAAGATTCATATCATGAATCTTCACTATCATTTTTTTAGACCTAAGGTGGGCTGAGTATTATAGAACAAGTGTGACACCCCAAAATTCGGGGGTTCGTTAATCACCCATCAATTCGCGGAATACCTGTGGATAGCGTCTAACTCGATATCATACCGTTGTGTCCCATTTACCGGAATTTATAATTTAATAAAATTTGGACAGAGTTTTCTTTGTACATGGAGCTCTACCCAAAAATACAACATATACATCATACAATTACAAGACTTATCCGAGGTCCAATATTCAACATTGACCACACCGGGTCCATTTATCCATACTCATATAATAACATGTAAGGTTACATTAAAAATAGTCCATATAAGTTTGATTACAATTTTTTTACATAAATTTACATGCCAAAAACTAAGTTTTCGTAATGATTTTACAAAATCTCAAAACAAAGCCATATCTTACTTTTCCTTCCCCTTGATGGCTCGAATGAGATCCATTCACTGGCGTATAATCTGTACCTGAAATGTTTTCCCGTATAGGGTAAGCCAACGCCCAGTAGAATATTTTCTACAGAGGCTACTCCCCACCTAAATGCATATGCGACGATCTCATGCAACAATCACTAGCACAACTTCATTTCATTCAAGAACATGTTATTCAAGATGAAATTCTTACATATCATGTCATGATATGAGATGAGACTCACTTATGCATTCTCATCCAAGCCTACTCCGGCTTCTACAACACTACGCAATGCATGTGTGTAAAACATTTATCTTTGATGAAATACATCCAAAGATCTTTTTGAAACAAAACTCATGTGTTCATAAAAACCAATTCATTTCTGAATGTTTCCCATCAAATGAATCATTCATAAAACCAAAATCATGTGTCTTTATTTGGGTAGTGGACTTTTGGTGTTGCATCGCCGGCTCTACACACCGATATACTTTTCTGGATTTGCATCGTAGGAAGCGTATAAACCAGGAGCCGGGTCTTGCACCAGAGAGGGGATCTATCCCTTCTTGCTATACCCAACACAAGTTTTTCATGTATGCAACCGTGCGACTCAGTCAAATCTTCAAACTAACTTTCTCGAGCTCACCCGTCAACCACCAAATATGGTGTTTGATTGAACCATGCACACTCACACTCATGCATAAAGCTCATGAATGTGATGTCTCCATACATATGCAATATAATGAACCATTGCACTACCAATGTCATGCACCACATGTAATGAGTGTCATATGGATCAATTTAAACATATATTTCAACATAACTCATCATCCACCAAGTATGATGTTTGATTAACCATGCACCCACACCCACACGCACGCCTCATGTCCATGAATGTGATANAATTACCCTTGGTTCGATTTGATGCGATCCATTGGTTTGCATTTGTATTTAGTGTGGAGGTTTTTTTTGTTGGTTGAATTAGTGGCAATAGAGTATTTTTTTTTTTAGTTTGTTGCATAAGGAGAGTCAAGACAAGATTCATATCATGAATCTTCACTATCATTTTTTTAGACCTTAGGTGGGCTGAGTATTATAGAACAAGTGTGACACCCCAAAATTCGGGGGTTCGTTAATCACCCATCAATTCACGAAATACCTGTGGATAGCGTATAACTCGATATCATACCGTTGTGTCCCATTTACCGAAATTTATAATTTAATAAAATTCGGACATAGTTTTATTTGTACATGGAGCTCTACCCAAAAATACAACCTATGCATCATACAATTACAAGACTCATCCGAGGTCCAATATTCAACATTGACCACACCGGGTCCATTTATCCATACTCATATAATAACATGCAAGGTTACATTAAAAATAGTCCATGTAAGTTTGATTACAATTATTTTACATAAATTTACATGTCAAAAACTAAGTTTTCGTAATGATTTTACAAAATCTCAAAACAAAGCCATATCTTAGTTTTTCTTCCCCCTTGATGGCTCGAATGAGATCCATTCACTGGCGTATAATCTGTACCTGAAATGTTTTCCCGTATAGGGTAAGCCAACGCCCAGTAGAATATTTTCTACAGAGGCTACTCCCCACCTAAATGCATATGCAACGATCTCATGCAACAATCACTAGCACAACTTTATTTCATTCAAGAACATGTTATTCAAGATGAAATTCTTACATATCATGTCATGATATGAGATGAGATTCACTTATGCATTCTCACCCAAGCCTGCTCCGGCTTCCACAACACTACGCAATGCATGTGTGTAAAACATTTATCTTTGATGAAATACATCCAAAAATCATTTTTGAAACAAAACTCATGTGTTCATAAAAACCAATTCATTTCTGAATGTTTCTCATCAAATGAATCATTCATAAAACCAAAATCATGTGTCTTTATTTGGGTAGTGGACTTTTGGTGTTGCACCGCCGGCTCCACACACCGATATACTTTTCTGGATTTGCATCGTAGGAAGCGTATAAACCAGGAGCCGGGTCTTGCACCAGAGAGGGGATCTATCCCTTCTTGTTATACCCAACACAAGTTTTTCATGTATGCAACCGTGCGACTCAGTCAGATCTTCAAACTAACTTTCTCGAGCTCACCCGTCAACCACCAAATATGGTGTTTGATTGAACCATGCACACTCATACTCATGCATAAAGCTCATGAATGTGATGTCTCCATACATATGCAATGTAATGAACCATTGCACTACCAATGTCATGCTCCACATGTAATGAGTGTCATATGGATCAATTTAAACATACATTTCAACATAACTCATCATCCACCAAGTATGATGTTTGATTAACCATGCACCCACACTCACACGCATGCCTCATGTCCATGAATGTGATACANCGCAATGCATGTGTGTAAAACATTTATCTTTGATGAAATACATCCAAAAATCATTTTTGAAACAAAACTCATGTGTTCATAAAAACCAATTCATTTCTGAATGTTTCTCATCAAATGAATCATTCATAAAACCAAAATCATGTGTCTTTATTTGGGTAGTGGACTTTTGGTGTTGCACCGCCGGCTCCACACACCGATATACTTTTCTGGA